GGATTGTGCTTCATCAAATTGTCATTAAGGAAGGTAGAACCCCCGCTTTCCACCTCCTCCCTGCTCCAACTGATGGAAAATATCACAAGGAACCTATGAGAACTATTAGAAAACATATTTATGTAACTGGCTGTAAGCGCGGGAAAAAGCGAGTGACCAAAAAGAGATAGGTCTTAGATTTGCATCTGATTGGTTGAGAGGGAGGCGCGAGTTTTGTAGACCAATCACAGAGCGAAACGTAGCAAAACCAATGAAATCCTGGATTACGTTTGACTTTTGATTGAACATTGATTGAACGGTGATAGTACCTTACCATGAGACTCTTCACACGTAAATCGTTTCTTTTTCTTTAACCGTAGGTTCCGGATCTGAAGGAATTCTACCAGCCAATTATAATGTTTCCTTTATGCATCTTAACTCTGCCCTGCAGCAACTTTATGAATGTGTTAAAGGTATGTTCTCGCCTTAGTGAACTGTTCATGACTTATAACCTGTGTGATTAAGTTACATATGGAGCACTTTTCAACCAATCAGAGAGAAAGAAAATATTACAGGCAACCAGTTACAAATCGAAATATAGACAGGCTGCCTGTGTGTGACCAAGGGTCAATGGAATTTGATTTTGAATCTGATTGGCTGAGAAAGTGGTGCGAGTTTTCCAGACCAAATATGACGAAGCAAAACCAAAGCAGTATGGGATTACTTTAGACACTGAATTAAAAATTGCTCTAACACCACGAGACACTTATTTTTTTATTGCAGTATTATCAACACACTTCCAGTCTAAGGTTTCTCTTGAACATCAGCTGCCAACAGCAACACAGGTTAGAAAAAAGAGAACAAACAATGAAAAATAAAAACAGCGTCTTTTATCTGTGCACAAATTTATGAAACTGTAGTTGTGCCTGATTAATCTTCGTTTTTTATATTGTAGACCCTGAAAAGCACAGACGAATGCATCGTTTCTTCTTTAGTGTCTCTGCTAACTGCAAGTGCCAAGGTACCGCTTGATTTGTTTTAATACCTTTGATAGTCGAAAGACGTCAATGATTCGGTTTCGTCTCATTATTTTTTGCCATAAGATTTTCTTTGCTCTAT